TTTTTAGATTTTATTTATTTATTTGACAGACGGAGATCACAAGTAGGCAGAGAGGCAGGCAGAGAGAGAGGAGGAAGCAGGCTCCCTGCTGAGCAGAGAGCCCGATGCGGGGCTCGATCCCAGGACCCTGGGATCATGACCTGAGCCGAAGGCAGAGGCTTTAACCCACTGAGCCACCCAGGCGCCCCTACATTTCTATTTTCTATTTAAACTTTAATTTTATATCTTCAAATATATAATGAAGTACATATAAGCAAAATACTTGTAACAAATATGGACAAAATCTGAACTCTATGATATTTCCACTATTGTGCTAAAAAAGCAGGGCAAAGTGTTATATTGCATTACATATCCCTTATATGCATATAATTCTGAAAACATTTTAATGCCAGCTTATTCTGTTCATGAGCAAGTAACTCATTATTGAAGTCCCCTCTCCACGCCACTGTATGATTATCTGATAGGGTATCAGCCATCAGAATAGCCAGAGAGTAGGGAAAAGATGACATACGCTGCTTTGTTTATAATTCCCTCACTAAGTGTAAAGCAAAAATAGCTTTTAGTTTATATAAATAAATTTTATTATATTTAAAATTAAAGATGTGAGCAACGTGCTCAAGGTCATACTATTAAACATATCAATTTGCTGGAACTTAGGTCTGTCTAACTCTAAACTTAAACCCAGGTCTATCCAGTTCAAAGGCCATGCCCTATCTGCCACACAGCATTTCCTGATCAGCACGGGGGAGGGAGTCTAACTTTTCGGCCAGTGCATCTATTATCCTACCACGCATCAGTAACAAATATATGCATGACTGGGTGGGTTTGACCATTTGGGTATATATGTATGTGCTGGAGAGGTAACCCTGGCCTCATTGGTTTTGTGTCCTTGTGCTGTGGCGTGTCTGTTCTGAGACCCTAGACAGCAAGGGTGACAGCATGGCCCAGTTCTCATCTCCATACATTGTGCTCAGCATCATGGTTATTTTTGTGGGGCTGTGCAGGGGCAAAACCTACACCTCTCTCACTGTTTCTTTCATTCCTTATATTCCCATCTACTGTGGCTAATAAACGGTGGGAATGTGGTGTCCAACAAGGCAATTATGCAACCCAGAAAACAAAAACCCCACCGCTCCATCCAACACTGATTTTAACACTATTTCCTCTTGAAGTATTTCCTTCAAAACAAATGTATATGTAAAATTATCCTTTTTGGTACACTTTTCATATAGTTTCCCATGCTTTAACTGCTTTTTACACTCTCAGATAGACAGCTGGCAGACTGCACTGTATATAGGCCTACCTGAGGAACAAGCATGAACCACATTTCAGATGTTCTCTACCAGTGAGTCCTCTGTCATAGTACTCTGGACCATTTATTTTGTGGTTCATTGGTTTTAACACATAATAGCTAACAAAGGGTACACAAAGAATAATGCCAGTCTTGCCACAAAGAAATACAGAAAGGTTATCACAGTAGGTATTAAAATTTAAGTCTTACAGAGGCTCAAGGCACTTTTTTTTTTTTAAAGGTTTTTATTTATTTGAGAGAGAGATATTGAGAGAGAGACCATAGAGAGAGAGCGAGAGGGAGAAGCAAACTCTCCGCTGAGCAGAGAGTCCAATGGGGGCTTGATCCCAGGATGCTGAGATCGTGACCTGAGCTGAAGGCAGATGCTCATGTGCCCCTCAAGGCATTTTTAAGTAAAAAGTAGAGAAAATAGATTTTTTAAAAAACAGTAGAAAATAGATTAAAAAAAAAAAGTCAAGGGGTGGAGGTTTTTTGACATAATGAAAGCTAACACTATGCTAGAAGCCTAGAGGCCTGACAGTTATACACACGATAGCTGAACAACACCGCCAGGAAGTATATCTTGATTTCAAAAGATCTAGAAAGATAGGGAGATGAACTGCTCTTTATAGGAATACCTTGTTTTGATTGTGCTTTGCAGATTCTACATTATTTATAAGTTGCTGGGCTTTTTTTCTTTTTTAAGTAAGCTCTCTGCCCAACATGGGGCTTGAGCCCAGGACCCCGAGATCAAGAGTTGCATGCTTTCCTGACTCAGCCAGCCAGGCGCCCCTGTGCTTATTACAAATTGAAGGTCTTTGGCAACCCTAGGTCGATCAAGTTTATTAGCACCATTTTTCCAACAGCATTTGCTTACTTTGTATCTGTTTCACATTTTGGTAATTCTTGCAATATTTCAAATTTTTTCATTACTATTATATTTGTTATGGTGATCTGTGATCAGTAATTATGACTCACTGATAGCTCAAATGCTGGTTAGCATTTTTTAGCACTGTATTTTTAAATTATGTACATTTTTAAGATAATGCACAGAGACAATGGTATAGTATAAACATAACTTTTATATGTATTGGGAAACCAAAAAATTCACTTGACTTGCTTTATTGCAATATTGGTTTAATAGTGGTGGTTGGAACTGAATCCTCAGTATCTCCAAGGTATGCTGTATGTGGAGCTGGGAATAAATGTCCATAGACAATGTATATACTAATCCCATATATGACTGACTCAGTGGGGGTTCCTACTTAGAAGAATATATACTAAATGGGGTAAACCAACATATAAATCTCAGCTCCTCTAAGTCTTCACAAAGGACCAGAGATAGGTAACTGCTTGCAATAAACACATACAAATTAGTGAACATTAGTCTGTAGAAACAAAACAGATTACATCATAATGTCAGTTGTGGGATCCTAAAGGGGGTTTTCAGGCTTTTAATGAAGACTCACAGATGTCAACATTTTGACAAGATTCAACTGTTGTCAAATTACTTTATATTACAGATGTTTTCTCCTCTTTGGTTAATGACTTACTTTCAAAGGCTGGTTTCTTCTTATTACAGCAAGTTCAATGTTTTTTCCACCAGACTGGACAACCTAATGTAGAATAAGCACAATATTAAAATTACTTCAGCAAATCTTATTTTTAGTAAGGAAGTAGATAAGAACAGATCTTCTCTCCCCATGTTCTTCTGACTATGCTTTATTAGATCACTTACTTCTAGCAAAGCTCTTATTGCTAATTTGATAGCCTCATTGTCGTTTGCTATAGCATCTTCTGTGTAATTTTTTTCTAGAAATTCTCGGACAGTTTTAGCACTTCGGCCTATTGCATTTGCCTTGAAAAATAAAAGATAATTATTAATACCATTGCAATATGAAAGAATTTATGGTTACTCAGTGAAGTTTAAAGTTTATGGAGATATTTCTTAATATAATTACCAGGTGAAAATTTAGTTTTGAAAACTTAGCAAACATTTCACAGCTCATTCTGTTACTATGTGAATGATCCATAATGGTGGCGTGACTTATCTTCAAACATCCCAGTGCCTCGTCCTGGTCAATGCCTTCTACTACTTTAATGGCTCCCAAGTCCTTGATAACCAGGGAAGACTGAAAGAGTTGAAATTCAAAAGATGTATAGAGGAAAGGAGGTAGGACTTTGCAATATAGTACCAAAGGAAGAAAGAAAAAAGGATAAAAAGGACATCGACCTGAAGAAGAAAGCTGTTTGCATGAATAGGACTGTGTGCATCATTTTCTTAGAACTTAGAAGAAAGTGGTCACCTAATTATTGGTTCATTATCTTTGATTCTATAAGGGATAAAAGATTCTTCCATTCTATTCTGCATTTTTCTTTGTTCTTTAGAAATTTTCATCAGATGCCCTGGCTTCATAGCCACAGGTGGTCTAAGGCATGTTCTTTTAATTCAGTCTAAATATCTAGGCAAGTATTAGTGATGATAATGAGGATGAGAATAGTAATTCTTATATAACAGAGCACTGATGTGCCAAGCACTATGCTAAGCATTTTACATGGATTATTTCCTTTAGCCATCACAAAAACAACTGAATAGTTACTATTATAAACTCCAATTCATGAATGAAGAAATGGGGGCTTGGAAAGGTTAAAATAAGCTTTATCAACCTCAGCACTATTAACATTTTGAGCTGAATATTTTTTTTTTTTTTTGCTGTGGGGGTCTGTCCTGTGCACTGTAGGATGTTTAGCAGCCTCTATCCACTAGATGTTAGTAGCACTCCCCACCCCAGTTGTGACAACCAAACATGTCTCTTAGGGGGTATAAAATCACCCCTATTTGTGAACCAGTGTTTTAAATAATCTTGCCCAAGATCACAGAGGGGATAGATAGAAGAGCTGAGCTTTGAAACCAGGTAGTCGGAATTGACACTCCAAGCTCTGACCTCTAGATGCTATGCTGCCACATGCCCCTTTGCTATGATGACTTTAGAGAGAGGAAAGAACCAGCAGAAAGGCCCATCCTTGTGCTCAAGGATCCTGGCATTGAATAAGGGAATGTCTCAGTTCTAACTGGTTATGGTTAGTATTATGATTATAGGAAAGAGATCGCAAAAGAGATGTTAGGAAGTGAGCATGAAAGCATGCATACCTTTTGTACTACATGACAGTGTATTGTTCTGGTGAGCAGAATATTATTTTTACTTCACAGAACTTTTTCTATTCCTTTATATTTCAGAGGGTTAAAAAAACAGCTGTGAAGTTTTAAATTAAATTTTGTAGCTTTGAAATTTCACTAAGATCAAAGGTAAAGACTTCAGACTAGTATGACTTTGAAGTATTATTTGCTACTAGCTTTTCGGGGGTAACTAGTTGTTGCCCAGAGAGGAAGGCTATAAGGTAGGGGTTTATCCAGAAATCTCAATGAATCCTTAAAAGGTTACCTTATAAATTCTGGTGACTTTCCTGTCCAATTCTTCTAATTGGCAATGTAAAATTCTTTAATTCTTACCTACTTGACTGGTTTCCTAAAATCTTCTTACCTCCAAATCCATCACAACAGACTCTTAGTTTTTGCAATGTTTTTTCCTGCATGCCTATAATTAATGATAATTTTCTATGGCAAAGATTATTAGCAGCCATCCCCAATATCCATTTTTCCTTTGTGACAGAACACTAGGCAATATGCCTGCTGAAAAGTATCATTTCCTAGTCTTGGTTACCAATAGGAATATACAAGTGGAAAAAAATGGGTAGAACTTGTGAAACCTTTATTGCCTGGAATGCAGACAGGCTGGCTGGAGATTTAGCAGCCACTCTGAGCACACGGGCAAAGACTAAGATAATAAGAGACAAATAACAGCAACTGTCTACCTTTAAACTTCTCGTTAAATGAGAAAAGTAAATTGTTATGTGTTAAGAATCATCGCATCTCTGTTGTTCGGAGCCAGAATACCTCACAGATAAATCTTTGTATATCTTAAAGATATACAGAACAAAAACTGATGGGGCACCTGGTTGGCTCAGTTGGTTAAGTGTCTGCCTTTGGCTCAGGTCATGAATGATCTCAGGGTTCTGGGATGGCACAACGCTAGACTCCCTGCTTAGTGGGGAGTTTGCTACTCCCTCTACCTCTGCCCCTCCCCCAGGGTTGTACACATTCTCTCTCTCTCTCTTTCTCAAGTAAAATAAATAAGATCTTCAAAAAAAAAAAAAAAAAGATTAAAAATTGATGGGGCACCTGGGTGGCTAGTGGGTTAAGCATCTGCTTTTGGCTCAGGTCATGATCCCAGGGTCCTGGGATGGAGCCCCGCATTAGGCTCTTTGCTCATCGGGGAGCCTGCTTCCCGCCCCCTCCTCCCTGCCTGCTGCTCTGCCTACTTGTGATCTCTCTCTGTCAAATTAATAAATAAAATCTTAAAAAAAAAGATTTAAAATTAATAAAGAAGATCATTTTGGCAGGAATACTTTATTTACTATTAGAATTTCTTAGCCGATGAGTAGTACAATGGTTACATTTTGTGTGGTCTTCTACACAAAGTATGAAAGCCTGATGATTTTTGATCTTTCCTAGCTCTTTTAAATCCACTCCAATCAAGCTTTATCACTATGAGATGTCTTGTCAAGGTCAGCCATGACCTGCCCATCACCCTATCCAATCATTTCACTTTTTACCTGACCCATCAGTGGCTGTAGCTCAGCTGATCAACTCTTCTTGGAATACCGTTTCCACTTTTGATCCGGGACATCCCTCCTCTGGGTTCTCCTTCTTCATAGACTATGCTGGATCCTTCCCCACCTTCCATTGGTCCAATACTGATCTGTATCAGGTCTTGCCTGGATTATTATTTGACACAGCCTCCTAACTTGTTTGCCTGCTTCTACCCTACTGTACAGTCTATTCTCAATGCAGCAGCCACACAGATCCTTTAAAAATAGTTAAGTCAGATCATGTTACTTTAATATGCCAAAACCTCAAATGGCTTTCTATATCATTCTTCTTATTTTTAAAATTATTTTTAAATATTTTATTTATTTATTTGAGAGAAGGCAAGCACAAGCAGGGGTGGGTATGCGAAGGGGGAGGTAGAGGGAGAAGCATACTCCCCACTGAGCAGGGAGCCTGATGCAGGGCTCAATCCCAGGACCCTGGGATCATAACCTGAGCCAAAGGCAGACGCTTAACTGACTGAGCCACCCAGCTGCCACTACATCACTCTCTTTAATATCCAAGTACTATCCGTGGCCTTCAGATCCTACAAGATCTAGCCCCTCCTACCTCTGTTACTCATCCTTCATGACTATCTTTCTGGATTCACCACAACACAGTCATATGCTCCACACAGAGCTTGATATCCTGTAGATATGGAACATACTCCCATTTTGGAATTTCACCCTGATTGGTTCCTCTGTTTGGAATACCACAGAAATAAGTACCTGGCCTGCTTCTTCACTTTCTCCAGGACTCTTTAAATATCACCTTTTCAAAGGTGCTTTCCCTGACTACTTTACCTACCAATCACACTCTATCCTCCTAACCTCCATCTCTTTTTTCCCCCATAGGACTTATATTACATAAACATCATCTGTACCTTTTTTTGTCACCTCTGTATCCCCAAACCTAGAACAATATTTGATACATAACTCAAATATGTATAGACTGAATATTTGTTAAATTATAGACTATTAATACATTTTACTTGTAACTTTTGACGGTAATTATCTTTGGGAATCCTACACTATGATATCCCTAAGTACAGAGATATCAACTCACATGCTTACTGCTCTGGTACTCAATTCCTTCTTCATTTCTGGCCCCTTAGGATTTTCTGTCTTTTTCATGAGTTCAGCTATGCATTAAAAACATGTTAATGATCATTCTGGCTTTTTACATGGTTATAGCAGGAGAATTTTTGATTAATTCAACTTAATGTAATGTGAGAAACCCCAGAACCTCTTACTCCACATTAAAAAAAAAAAAAAAAAAAACTTCTGCAATATGAAAACATATAAAGAAGAAAAAATATTTCAAATAGAGTGTCCCCTCACTACTGGTCTGGATACTGCCAGAACTACTGGGCTAATTGATTTTTTTTTAAGATTTTATTTATTTATTTGAGATAGAGAGCAAGAGTGAGAGAGAGAGAGAGAGAGAGAGAGAATGAGTTTGGGGTGGGGGGAGGTAGGGCTGGAGGGAGAGGAAGAAGCAGGCTCTCCACCAAGCAGGGCAACTGGCTTGGGCTTGATCCCAGGATCCTGGGATCATGACCTGAGCCGAAGACAGATGCTCAACTGCCTGAGCCACCCAGGCACCCATGAGCTACTAACTGATTTCTTGAGACTCTTCTGTTATGGAAGGCAGCTGTATGCCCTCAGTAGAAGAGAAACTGACTCTGGATATGAGTTTCCCTTCCCTGTACCAAATGGCCCACCTTCTGTGAACTTGCTGAGTGCTTTCTTCACCATCATGATATCGTACAAAACACTGCTGGTGACCAAGGAGGAAGTGAGAGAATACACTTATGGCCATGGGATTCACTGGTTTATGTTTCATGTTCTCTGATTCTAAAGAAGCCAACCTGGTAAAAACGGGAAATGGCCAACTGAAGACTCAGTTATAGAGTAGACTCTTATGGAGCTAAGATCCTGTATGTGCCCTGACATGAGAACCAGTAACTTTCTTCTTTCATAGCCACAGATCTAGGAATCAAGGGATACCTGTCTCATTAAACCCCTAATGGGGCACCAATAAAATTTTTGCCTCTTGGGTTGTATTAAAGGTTCCCAAGTTGGTGGGGTGGTGGGGAAGGGAGAAGAGGCAGTGTTCTGCTAGGGGATATAACAATGTCACTGGACTAGAAGCTGAGACTGCCTGTTGGCAGTTTTGGACACCTCCTGCCTTTGAACCAGTAGGCAAATAATGGGTTACTGTGAGGATGGTATGATTTATTCTGATTATTAAGGGAAATAAAGTAACTATTATACAATGGGACTGGGGAGGAGAGTCTGGAACTCTCTTTGTATTCTCATGTGAAGTGCAAAAAAGCTAATGGAAGGCTCTATAATCTATTAAGGCAGAATATGTAATGGACCATAATCTTAAAAAAAAAAAGTTTGTGTTAAATGCCAGATAAAGAACCCCAACAAAGAGCTAGTATCAGTGATTTCTGTTCTCATTTCTGCTACAGGTCATGTGGCCAGTTTATATTTTGATTTTCTATTTCTACTACCCATTTCACATGTCCTCTATCTGTACCTTGTAAAACTACATCCTAGCACTACAAAGTATTGTCACCGCATGGTACCATAGCCGTGTCCTCAACAGCCCATTGTATCACTTTATCAGGCTACTGGTATACTAGTACGTCAGAGTAAAAAACAAAACACAGAAATGAAAAAAAAAAAAACAAAAAACCTGATCTCATGGCTAAAGTGCTATATATAGTCTCCCCCAAACAGAAATTAAGCCAGAAGATTTTTTCTATTTTTCAAGACTAGATATCAGAATAAGCTTGATGTAATAGAAGGAACACTGTACTAATAAAGCAGAAGACCCTGAGTTCTTCTTTTTTTAAAAATTTAATTTAATTCTTTTATATTTTTATAAACATATAATGTATTTTTATCCCCAGGGGTACAGGTCTGTGAATCGCCAGGTTTATACACTTCACAGCACTCGCCATAGCACATACTCTCCCCAATGTCCATAACCCCACCACCCACTCCCGACCCTCCTCCCCACAGCAACCCTCAATTTGTTTTGTGAGATTAAGAGTCACTTATGGTTTATTTCCCTCCCGATCCCGTCTTGTTTCATTTATAGAAGACCCTGAGTTCTAATGACAGCTTTGCTATTAACTAGTGGTGTGAACTTAAAAAAAAAAAAAAAAAATCACTTAACTCCTGAGTCTCGTGTACCAAATATGTAAAATAAAAAAGTTTTCAGATGTCTTTTGTTATAGATTTTTTTAAAGCTTCATTTGACTTCAACAAAAATCTCACAATAAAGTACAATATGTGAAATCAGTTAAATGATGATACATGGCCTTCACACACCACAGCAATGCATAGTTTCAGACCTAGATGATCAATACCCAACAATTTAAAAATTCCATAATTTGGGGGAGCCTGGGTGGCTCAATTGGTTAAGTGTCTGCCTTCAGCTCATGTCATGATCTCGGGACTGTGGGATCAAGCCCCATGTTGGGCTCCCTGTTCAGCGGGGAGTCTGCTTCTTCCTCTCTCTCTGAGGCTCCCCCTGCTTGTACTCTCTCTCTAATAAATAAAAATAAAAATAAAAATAATTGAAAAATAAAAATTCCATAATTTTCCTAACTAGTTGATTTTAAAATAAAATGGTTCTCAGTATGACCCTAGGGAACAATCAAATTAAAATGGAAAATTATGTAAACTTGGAAATTGTTGTTATGATATTGAAATGAAGTATAATGATGTAATGATTAATACAAACAGAAGATGGCACACTTTAAAATATTTAGAGAAAGACTGAGGGTAGTAACTTTTTTGGTTCAAGGTACAGATTTAGGAGGCACAAGAAATCTAATACATGTAAAAGATTTCTTAAACTGGCACAAAAAAGTCTGGTATCTGCAGTAGGTAAATTCATAGTTTCTTATTGCCAATTAGTTTGTCTAGTTAGCTTAAAAGAAGATGTGCAGCTACCAGTATCCAGATCTTTGTGGCAAGAATATAATCCACTGTTTTACTGGCCTGGTTAGTTGGTTTATAAAACAGTATGAGTGTGGTCAGCTCAAATCAATTCCTTTAGTTAATACGGGCATAAAGACCAAGGCAATACTTCCCATTAATTTATATGGCTTTTAATAACAGTAAAATAAACACTTCATGAAATTATTCAAAGCCTGGGTATTTAAACTTCTTAAAAAAACATTTATAAATTTGAGAGAGAGCAAGAGAGAGTGAGAATGAGTGGGGGTTGGGGCAGAGGGAGAAGAGGAGGCAGGCTCCTTGTTGAGCACGGAACCAACGCAAGGCTCAATCCCAGGACTCTGGGATCATGACCTAAGCCAAAGGCAGACATTTAACTGACTGAGTCACCCAGGCACCCCTTTAAACTTTTAGTAAACTAAAAATTATTCAGATTCTATAATGTATTTCTATTTTTATATATGAGAATATACAAAAATTTGTTTCTGGAAATTGCTACTAGTTTCCCTAGACCCTAGACTTTTGTATTAGATTTGAGTGTACCATTAAACAGATTATTGGGGTACTGAAAGAAGAATAATAACATGCAGAAAACAAGATATTCTAGGAATGATTTGGGAACAATTGTAATGTACTGCCGTATTAATAGAGATTCATAGTTTGGGGTACTCTAACTCTCCTAGAATAGAGAATGCATTAAATATTTCACTGTGGGGTTTAAATGCTCATTCAATTCTGTATTAAAAGCAGAAAGACTATTTCTACTCAAAGCAAGTATCTGTATGAGGCAGTACTTATTTGGAAGAATGAATGATGATAGGAATCAGATATATCTCTTATTTGGCCATTTATATATACTTAGGTTTGTCACATCTTTTCAAAAGAAGACCCTGTGACTAATAAACCAAAGTGTTGGGGTGCCTGGGTGGCTCAGTCAGTTAAATGTCCACCTTTGGCTCGGGTCATGATCCCAGCATCATGGGACTGAGTCCTGCATCAGGCTCTCTGCTCCTTGGGGAGCCTGCCTCTCCCTCTGCCTGCTCCCCCTTCTTGTGCTCTCTTTCTTTCTCTCTGTCAGTTAAATAAAATATTAAAAAAAAAAAAAACCAAAGTGTTTTTCTATCCATCAAAACATCATAGTTGCTGACTAGCTAAATAGTTATGTAAAGTTTGTACCATCATCAATACTTTAATGCAACGTAATTTTTTTGTCCTGTCCCTGAAAGTGATAAAACATTTACTGTGAATACATGTATTCAACTTCTAAAGTGCATTAACAAATTCATGACTTACCTTCCAAGCATGGTAAGTACCAGAGGGATCAGTCTGATATAATCTTGGGATACCATCGTCATCGAAACCTACAATTAAGGCAGAAATGCCAAAAGGTCTTCGTCCATTGCTTTGTGTGTATTTCTGAAAAATAAAATGTTTTTATAATTACTTTCTGTATGAGGCCATACAAAGAATGACACTATTATCAACTAAGAAATTTTGATAGCAGGGGTGCCTGTGTGGCTCAGTTAATTGAGTGTCTGCCTTCAGCTCAGGTCATGAACTCGGGGTCCTGGGATCAAGACCCATGTAGGGGTCCTTGCTGAGTGGGGAGTCTGCTTCTCCATCTCCCTCTGCCCCTTGCCTGCTTCAGCTCTCTTTCCCCCAAATAAATAAGTAATCTTAAAAAAAATTTTTTAATAGTAAAGTATTCCTGCTAAAATAATTTTTTCGATTCTTATTATGTATTTAAGATCCTCTTCCTGACTTTTTCTGTACTAACTTCAATCCATGATGAAATTTTATTTTATTTTATTTTATTTTATTTTTTTAAAGATTTTATTTATTTATTCGACAGAGAGATCACAAGCAGGCAGAGAGGCAGGCAGAGAGAGAGGAGGAAGCAGGCTCCCCTAGAGAGCAGAGAGCCCGATGCGGGGCTCGATCCCAGGACTCTGAGATCATGACCTGAGCCGAAGGCAGCAGCTTAACCCACTGAGCCACCCAGGCGCCCCCATGATGAAATTTTAATGAAATTAATGTATATGGTGTTTAAAACAAAATAGTAACTTTGCTTATATATGGTCTTAAAACTGTTGTCTTGTTTCTTTATATATTTTTTGGTAACATAACTGGATTATAATCTTGTTAATATAGCAGAGAACTGTATATGTACACCATTTTGGTTCCTACCTAGTAAAGCTGATTTTGGTGAGCTGTACTTTGGAAGTGAGTTCTTGGGGCTGACTTTGAGAGACACAATAAATGTTACCATTATAATCAATATTCTTACTTGATACTATTATTATCAAATATATTCTGTTCCCTATATACTAAGTTATCTCTACAGAAAACTCAACTAAGACATTTCTCGAACAAGGAAACCTTTTGTCTCTTTAGAAGAAAACACATTTTTTTTCTTCCCAGACAGCAGGGCACTGGAAACCAATTGTATTTCTTTTTACTTTAGTGCCAAGAACTTCCTGGATTGTGCTCCAAAGAGTGGAATTCACACTAATTCTAAGACTGGTGCTCCTAGAAGTTGTACATAGGACAGCCCTGACAGAAAGCTCAAACTTACACCTTTTTTTCCATTTTTATATTTTATTATTATGTATTTTTATTAGGACCTCAAATTTTGAATGCAAACAGTTGGGCTACAAATGTAAATAATTCTTAAAGAACAGGGTTTATTTGTCTTCATTCTTCTGTATTTCCCAATATTCCTAGTTCACACAGAGGTATGAAGTAGATGCTTTGTAAATATACCTCAGAGAAGAGACCCTTTTATTTGTTTAATCAACCATGTTTTTTTTCTTTAATGAAAAAGTACTTGCCCAGGCTTAAAATAATTTAAAAGTACAAAAGGTGTACATAAAGGATCTCTTTTGTTGCAGAGCCCCAGATCCCTTCCCAGTAGCAATCACACTGCTACAGGTTTACAATATTAAATGTTCTATGCGGGAGCCTTTATTCTTCTAGAAGAAAAACTAAAAACCACAATTGGGAACCTCGTATACACAATGTTCTACACCTTGCTTTTTTGGTGAATATAGTGTGGAGCTCAGCAGGAAGCCTGAACTCAGGACCCTGAGATCAAGCCCTGAGCTGAGATCAAGAGGTGGATGCTTATCCTACTAAGCCATGCATGCGCCCCAGTGGATACCCTTTTAACTGCTGAGAAAATCAAAGCAAATAAAAAGGTAAAGTAGAATAATATAAAAATGTTGGACTTCCTTGCAACATAAATTTAAAAAAAAAAAGGTACCTTTTTATAAGTATATAATTTAAAACTTTAGTATCTAGAATATATATAATTTATTTAAAAAATCTCTACATGGACAAATGGCAAAATCCATGCCAGAAAGTGTTCTAAATGCTTTAAATGTATTAAATCATTTAATCTGTAATGCAACTCAACAAAGTAGGTATTATTTTAATGTTTATTCTATAAATAAGAAAATTAAGACAAAACAGGCTAAATAGTATGCTCACAACACTAACTAGGAAGTAACAAACCCAGGATTCAAAACACCCAAATTCTGGCTCTTGGAGGCACATTCTTAACCACCAGAGTGCCTGTCAAAAGGACAGATAGTTTACACTAGAAGAAATGAAAATAGCAAACCAACATGTGGGGGGAAAAAAATCAACCTCACTACTAATTATAAAATACAAATTAAAACAACTATTACAGTACTATGTTATACTTATTTGCTAAATAAAAAAAAAAAAAAGAAAACCCTAAGCTGATGATCCTTCAGGGATACATTTATGCCTTGCTGGTTGCACAATAAAAATTGGTTCAATCTTTTTAGCAAGCAATTTAGCTACATATAACAAGAGTCTTAAAACCAATTACAATCTCTAATCTAGTAATTTCTTACTGAAAATTAATTTAACAATATAATTCAAAAAATAAAAACAAAGGCCATGGCAAAGATAGAGTAATGTTATTAAAGTACTAAATTGAGAAAGAGAATGAGAAATGGAAAGAAACTGGAAACAATCTAAATAATTACCAGTGAACAACTGGAAACAGTATTATATAGTTAGTAAGAATGAGAAGTATGCATAAGGATTATGCTGACAAATGTAAAGTACACATAAAAGATAGAGAACAAATAACTTATATATATTATGATTATACTTAATGTCAAACCATGTACCTGTGTATGAATTCAGAAATTATATCCAGAGGTGCCTGGGTGGCTCAGTAGGTTGAGCATCTGACTCTTGATTTCCCCTCAGGTTGTGATCTCAGTGTTGTGGACTGAGCCCTGCACTGGGCTGTGCTGAGTGTGGAGCCTGTTTAAGATTCTTTCTCTCGGGGCGCCTGGGTGGCTCAATGGGTTAAAGCCTCTGCCTTAGGCTCAGGTCATGATCTCAGGGTCCTGGGATCGAGCCCCCGCATTGGGCTCTCTGCTCAGCAGGGGGCCTGCTTCCACCTCTCTCTCTCTGCCTGCCTCTCTGCCTACTTGTGATCTCTGCCTATCGAATAGATAAATAAAATCTTTAAAAAAAAAAAAAAAGATTCTTTCTCTCCCTCTCCTTCTGTCCCCCTCCCGTTGCATTCTTTCTCTGTCTCTCTCTAAAATAATAATAAATACAAAAAACTTAGGTTTTAAAAAAATAATAATAATAAATAAATCTTAAAACAAAACAAAACAGGTCATATCCAAACCTGTTCAGTTGTGGTTAGGTTTGTAGATAAAAGAACTATGGGCATTTCTTTAGTAAACATATTAAGAAAAAAAAAAGTTTTCATTACTGTTATCACTAGAGGTATAGAAATCCTCTTAAAATACGAGATTTATTGGGGCGCCTGGGTGGCTCAGTGGGTTGAGCCTCTGCCTTCAGCTCAGGTCATGATCCCAGGGTCATGGGATCGAGCCCCGTGTCGGGCTCTCTGCTGGGCAGGGAGCCTGCTTCCCCCCCTCTCTCTGCCTGCCTCTCTGCCTCTCTCCCTTGTGATCTCTGTCTGTTAAATAAATAAGTTTAAAAAAAAATATGAGATTTATTGCTCTTTGAAATTTTAATATAATTCTTAGAATTGATAGTAATTGAGATTTCTAATGCTCAAATCAATGCAGTCCACTGGAATAAGAGTATGAATATGAAGTAAGTGTGAGAAGGAATAAGGATTTTAGTAGATTTAATAGATTAAATGACTGGGAATATTGTAGTAGTCCCATGACGGGAACCATAATGATGTAAAAGAAATCTGTTGGAATAGTGGCTTACCTGCTTTAAGGTTGCTATGAAGCGAGTTATATATTCTACGGTGACTGGGTCCTCAACTGTGAGCTTATGACTCTGGCACTCCACACGGGCTCTGTTTATTACTACTCTAGCATCAGCAGTCAGTCCTATAAAAGTAGGTAATACATTTTCAAAAAAGAATGACTCTTGTCAAAAGGGTTTTTTTCTTTTTAGCTACCATGAAATCTTTCTTATAATGTCCATTGTTTTTTCAATATATGTCCATTATAAATAATCTACAAAACAGAATATCACTCATCCAACATTTAGTACTTAATCTAATGCATTATTATTTACTTTTTAAAGAAATAGTTTTAGGGGTACCTGGGTGGCTCAGCCAGTTAAGCAACTGCCTTCGGCTCAGGTCATGTTCCTGGACTCCCAGGATCAAGTCCCGTCTCAGGCTCCCTGCTCAGTGGGAAGTCTGCTTCTCCCTCTGACCCTCCCCCCTCTCATGTTCTCTCTCAAATAAATGAAATCTTTAAAAAAATGGTTTTAAAGAAAAATAAACACTAACGTTAAGTAAACTATTTCCGAAAGATCAAAATGGTTGAACTCACAGTAGTTGGTCTGTTTATTAGATTTTATTGAACATTTTCTAAAAATCTCTATAGTCATGTTTCTAAAAACTATTTTTGGGGAAGATATCAAAGGCAGACTGATCAAAGGCTGATGGTTTATCCTGGTTCCAAAATCAATATACTCATTATCAAACACATACCCATTGAATTCAAACTGCATTCAATATAACTGTGACATGTGATTTCTATTAGCTTTTTGTCTAAGATTAAGGGTTTGAAAATCAAGAATATTAAAACAGAAAAAGAAAATAGTCTTCCTTTTGCCATACCAAAACCTCATGTAATTAATTTTCCACATTTCCATAAGGAATAGAATGTGATTCTATAAAAACAACAACTGTCCCAAAACTTAAATGCAACAGTTGCAAACATTTCTATTAAAGACTACTCTGGCATTTGTCCTTTACATAGCCATTTTGTTTCTTTCCCCATTCTATTAATAGCACACTGCCAGGAAAATGCATTCACAAAATCTCTGTAACAGTCATTTCTCAAATAATCATCAGTCTTTTGCATTCACAAACTCATTTTCCACTTCCACACCATTTCAAATTGTGTTTCTACAAATGGAGGAATTGTCAATCCCTGAAGATAATGAAGAACACTAAGAATCACCCCAATACTCATGGGTAGGGTGCAAATTTTAATTGGGTAGCTAAAGAGGGAGAAACTGATTCTATTCTCTCTGCAAAATATGAGAAGCATCTGGCTGGCTCAGTTTGTAGAGCATGTGACTCTTGATCTTGGGGTTGTGAGTCTGAGCCCCATGTTGGGGGGACTCTACTTTTTAAAAACAGTTTTTAAAAGTTATTAGAAAATGTTATACAAGAGAAAGAAATGAGAAGAGATTCACTTTACCTATCCTATGGATTAAAAGCTACACTCAATTAGAAAATGTGATCCGAAAGGAGACTTCTAAGTTATTTCCCCTTTACAGTGTAAATATGATCCAAAACTACAGAAACATAGAAGCATATTTAAAAAGTAGTGATATAACTGATTCAAGAAAAAAATTAGTGATAAATTTGCCAAACCATATAAGTAATACATTTGTGTGATTGTGTTTGTTTTTAACATAAGAAATAACAATTACACTAATCAATACCAAATGTCTAGGAAAAAGAGAACAACTTCAATTTAAAGATAGCATTGAAAATTGCAATTTCACATTCTCTAGGTTACCTTTTAGTTTTCTTGTTTCCTTTGCTGTGTAGAAGAGTTTTATTTATTTACTTAAAAGATTTTATTTATTTATTTCTCAGAGTGGGAGAGAGAGAGCAGACAAGCAGGGGGAGTTGCATATAGAGGGAGAAGCAGGCTCCCTGCTGAGCAAAGAGCCTGATGCAGGACTTAATCCCAGGACTCTGGGATCAGTGACCTGAGCTAAAGGCAGATGCTTAACCAACTGAACCACCCAGGTGTCCCTAGAAACTTTTTATTTTGATGGAAGTCCCAATAGTTTATGTTTGCTTTTGTTTCCCTTGGCTAAGGAGACATATCTAGGAAGAAGTTGCTATGGCCAACATAAAAGAAGTTAATGCCTATGTTATCCTCTAGAATTTTATGGTTTCAGGTCTCACATTTAGGTCTTTAATCCATTTTGAATTTATTTTTGTGTATGGTGTAAGAAGGTGGTCCAGTTTCATTTTTATGCATGCTGCTTTGCAGTTTTCCCAACACCATTTGTTGAAGAAACTTTTTTTTTTTTTTTCTGGATGCGGTCTTTTTCCCATTGGATATTCTTTCCTACTTTCCTTAAGACCAACTGACCAACAGTTGTGGGTTCAGTTCTGGGTTTTCTATTTTGTTCCACGGATCTATATGTCTGTTTTTGTGCCAGTACCATACTGCTTGGATCACTACAGCCTTGTAATAACTTGAAGTCTGGAATTGTGATCCCTGCTTTTCTTTATCAAGGATTCTTTGACTATATACAGGGTGTTTTGTGGTTCCACACAAATTTTAAGATTCTTTGTTCTAGCTCTGTGAAAAATGCTCTTGGTATTTTGATAGGGCTTGCATTAAATATGTAGATTGCTTTGGGTACTATAGACATTTTAAAAATATTTGTTCTTCCTACAGAATGGAAGATACTTGCAAATGACCTGAGAAAGGTTAGTATCCAAAATATTTGAAGAACTTATAAAAGTCGACACCCCCAAAATGAATAATGCAACTAAAAAATGGACAGAAGACATGAATAGACATTTTTCCAAAGAAGACATCCAGATGGCCAACAGACGCATGAAAAGATGCTGAACATCACTCATCATCAAGGAAATACAAATCAGAACCACAATGAGATACCACCTCACACCTGTCAGGATGACTAAAACCAAGAACACAAGAAAGAGTATGTGTTGGCAAGGATGTGGAGAAAGGGGAACACTTGCACTGTTGGTGGGAATGGAAACTGGTGCAGCCACTCTGGTAAACAGTATGGAGATTCCTCAGAAAGTTAAAAATACAACTACTCTATAATCCAGTGATCACACTATTAGATATTTACCCAAAGAATATAAAAATACTAATTCAAAAGGATACATGCACCCTGATGTTTACAGCATCATTATTTATAATAGCCAAATTATGGAAAGAGCCCAAGTTCCATCGACTGATGAATGAATAAAAAAGATGTGGTGTATACATATATATACACAATAGAATATTACTCAGCCATAAAAAGAATGAGATCTTGCCATTTGTAATGACATGGCTAGAGCTAGGGAATATCATGCTAAGCAAAATAAGTCAGAGAAGGTAAGTATTATATGATTTCAATCATATGTGGAACTTAAGAAACAACAAACGAGCAAAGGGGAAAAAAAGAGACAAACCAAGAAACAGATTCTTAACTATGGGGAATAAAGTGAGGGCTATCAGAGGGGTTGAGGGATGGGTGAAATAGAAATGGGGATTAAGAAGTACACTTGTGATTAGCAATGGGTGTTGTTAAGAAGTGGTGAATCAGGGACGCCTGGGTGGCTCAGTGGGTTAAGCCTCTGCCTTCGGCTCAGGTCATGATCTCAGGGTCCTGGGATCGAGCCCCGCATCGAGCTCTCTGCTCAGCAGGGAGCCTGCTTCTCCCTCTCTCTCTCTCTGTCTGCCTCTGCCTACCTGTGATCTCTGTCAAATAAATAAATAAAATCTTTAAAAAAAAAAAAAAAAAAAAAGAAGTGGCGAATCAGGGAAGCCTGGGTGGTTCAGTCTGTTAAGCATCTGCCTTCAGTTCAGGTCATGTTCCCAGGGTTCTGGGATCGAGTCCTGCATCCGGCTCCTTGCTCAGCGGGGAGCCTGCTTCTCCCTATTCTCTGCCTGCTGCTCTCCCTGCTTATGCTCTTTCTCTCTCTGACAAATAAATAAATAAAATCTTAAAAAAAAAAGTGTTGAATCACTATATTGTATACTTGAGACTAATAATACACTATATGTTAACTAATTGGAAATTATTTTAAAGATTTTTAAAAATTTATTTATCTGACAGAGATCACAAGTAGGCAGAGAGGCAGGCAGGGTTGGGGGGGAAGCAGGCTCCCCGCTGAGCAGAGAACCCAATGCGGGGCTCAAACCTAGGACCCTGAGATCATGACCTGAGCCAAAGGCAGAGGCTTTAACCCACTGAGCCACCCAGGTACCCCAACTAACTGGAATTTAAATAAAAACTTTAAAAAACTACAATTTCACTTTGTTTATATATAAGCAATCTATAAAAGAAACAAGTCCTCCATCTAGTGCTTTCATTTGTTTTTTTAAAGATTTTATTTATTTGAGAAAGAGAGCAAGCAAGAGAGAGCTAGAGGAAGAAACGACTCCCTGCTGAGCAGGGAGCCTGCTGAGGGGTTTAATCTCAGGACCCTGGATCCCCGGACCCTGGGATCATGACCTGAGCCAAAGGCAGGCGCCTGGCTGACTGAGCCACCCAGGCGCCCCTCTAGTGCTTTTGAATTCATACCACAACTGTATCTTGAAATTATTTTCACAGTGTAAAATTTCTACTTTTAAATGGAATTCTACATGGCACATGAAAGAATTATTTTTTTCAAATTCTTTGATTTTTTTTTCCCTAAGGGCTGTTTTCTAACAATTAAAAGTACAATATAACAACATTGACAAAAGAATGTGATTTTTTCAAGATGATACTATATATATTTTCTGATATGTACTCATTGTAAAATATTCCAACAGAGGGAATAAAAGCTACCATATAATTCCACAAGTTATAAACAAAACAATATTATACATATTATTCAATAACCCACTCTTTTTAATATATACTTTCCATGTCAATACATATAGATCCTATGACCTCCTTTGTTTAAATTTAAATTCAATTTAGTTAGTATATAGAGTGGTACTGGTTTCAGGAGTAGAATTTAGTGATTCACCACTTACATATAACACCCAGTGCTCATCCCAACAAGTGCCTTCAGTGCTCATCACCCATTTAACATATCCTCCCACCCTCTTCCCCTCCAGCAACCCTGTTTGCTCTTTTAACTACAGTCTCTTATGGTTTGCCTCCCTGT